CATACAGTTCATCAGGCCTGGGATTTGTTAGGTTTTAATTTATCTATTTGCCTAAGGACCATGTCACTTGTGACCCTAATCGTGCACAGTTTATTATCGTCCTGTTCTACATAATTTATCATTACTGGAATATCGCTGGTATCCTCCTGTGTAAAAACTGAGAGGAAGTATGTGTTAAAAATTCTACACATTTCCTTATCACTGTCAGTGAGCTGACCCGAGGAACTTTTGAGTGGGCCTATCTTGTCCCTGATCTTACTTCTGTATACCTGAAAGAATCCTTTTGGGTTAGTCTTCGATTCTCTTGCAACTTTACCCTCATAATCTCTTTTTGCTTTTCTAATTCCCTTTTTTATTTCTCTCTTTAACTGAATATATCGATTTCTTAATTGCCCCTCTCCTCTTTTGATTTGCCTATATATGCCTCTCTTTTGACCAATCAGATATTTTAATCTATTGTTCATCCATTTAGGATCATTTTTGTTTGATCTGATTTCCCTATTTGGAACATAATTTGACTGAGCAGCTAGAACTATGCCCTGGAAAGCATCATATCGGCAACCATCACCACCTACCTGACCCTTAGTCAGGTCATTCCAGTTCAGCCCACCTAAGTAATTTTTCAGTCCTATGAAATCAGCCAAGCAAAAGTCAGGGACGGAGACTTGATTGCCATTATTAGGGGAATTCCATGATATATTAAAACTGAGTGATTTGTGATCACTTTCCCCAAGCTCATCATTAACCTCAAGATTATTAATTAGTGTTTCCCTACTGGCAAGAACCAAGTCAAGGAGGTTATTTCCCCTAGTTGGCTTTGTCACAAACTGTTTTTAAAAAACAATCCTGGATCGTATCAAGAAAGTCACCTGACTCTAAATTTCCTGTCAAATTGCTCCAGTCAATCTGTCTATAGTTGAAATCTCCCATTAGCACAACATTTTCGTATGTAGATGCCTTACGAATTTTCGTCCCATAGAAGTTTACTGCACTCCCTATCAAGATTTGGGGCCCTATAAATCACACCCAAAATTAGTTTTTCTCGGCCCTCGAGAAGCTGTAACCAAACAGATTCAGTGGCAGACGCTTCTAATTTAATATCTTGTCTAACACAACAATTTAAATTGTCTCTGACATACATCGCTACTCCACCACCTTTCCTGTTGACCCTGTCAGTGTGGAATAATTTATAGCCTTGTATGTGACATTCAGAGGGCATCTCTCTATCTTTCAGATTGAGCCAGGTCTCTGTTATAGCAATAATATCTATGTTTCCTGCACTTGCAATTAATCTTAGCTCATCCTGTTTTTAACATTTCTATCTTTATCCCATCAATCCTGGCTGCCTTACCCCCTTTCATTTTACCTACTGCCTCACGAACTTCCCCCACACTCACAACTGGCTCTTCCTCACTCCTACAAGATGTTGTTCCTCCTTGCCCTATACACGAAATCACAGCTTCCCTATCTTCATCAACATTTAACAATTCCTCAAAATATTCCCTCCATCTTCCTAATACCTCTAACTCTCCATTTAATAACTCTCCTCTCCTAGTTTTAACTGACAAATCCATTTGTTCTCTAGGCTTTCTTAACTTGTTAATCTCACTCCAAAACTTTTTCTTATTTTCAACAAAATTTGTTGATAACATCTCACCCACTCTCTCATTTGCTCTCTTTTTACACTGCTTCACCACTCTCTTAACCTCTCTCTTTTTCTCCATATACTCTTCCCTCCTTGCATCACTTCTACTTTGTAAAAACTTCTCATATGCTAACTTTTTCTCCCTTACTACTCTCTTCACATCATCATTCCACCAATCGCTCCTCTTCCCTCCCGCACCCACTTTCCTGTAACCACAAACTTCTGCTGAACACCCTAACACTACATTTTTAAACGTACCCCATACCTCTTCGACCCCATTGCCTATACGTAATGACTTACTTTATTCATTCTAGAGTATATTCCATGTTTCTATGTTATTAATATTGTTTATTACGTCATATTAGTTGAATTGTGATAGATAAATAAGCCATAGAGTTGATATTAGTGTCATATTCTCCAACAATGAACTAGCCATCCCTCCCTCACACAAACAAATAGCCAGTAAGAACATAACAATGGAAGAACACTGCAGGTCTACTGGCCCACACAAGGCAGGTCCTTATCAAAATGACCTCCACCCAAAGCTACCCAAGAATTTACTCCCGTACCCAATGACACAAATCAAACTCAGCTCCTCCAACTCGTATATTTGTCCAATCTCTTCTTAAAGCTACCCAAGGTCCTAGCCTCGATCACCCTACTGGTAAGTGTGATGTTTGTAGATGAATGGTTCAGAGAACCGACATGTTGATAAATTAGGCACATGTGCAACTCTTGGGTACTTTATTGATACCCAAGAGTTGCACATGTGCCTAATTTATCAAGTGTGATGTTAAATAAGAACTTAAGAAAGTAGGAACACTGCAACAGGCCTGCTGGCCCATACTAGGCCGGTCCTTCACAAATCCAACCCACTAACAGAACAAATGCTACCCAAGCAATAAATTCAGGTGCAAGTCCGACTCAAATCCAACCCCTTTCACTTGTGTATTTATCCAACCTAAATTTGAAACTACCCAAGCCATAGCTTTTAGAACATTGGAAAGGAGGAACACTGCAATAAGCCTGTTGGCCCATATTAGGCCAGTCCTTCACAAATCCAACCCACTAATAGAACAAATGCTACCCAAGCAATAAGCTCAGGTGCAAGTCCGACTCAAATTCAACCCCTCTCACTCGTGTATTTATCCAACCTAAATTTGAAACTACCCAATGTTTTAGCTTCGATCACCCTACTAGGCAGACCGTTCCACTCATCAACTACCCCTATTACCAATGTTCATTTATACATTTTATTAGTGCCCTAGAGTCCTTATGGAGGGGGATTCCCCTTCCAAATAACCTCTCTTCCCTCTCTCCTCCTCCCTGTCTTCCATACGTCAACAACAGCCTTCAATAAAGGTAACTGTCATGTTGAATGTTCATTCTTTTGTGCATGTAAATCTATCTTTTAGGTAAAAAAAAAAAATTTGTTGATACTTCTAGGTGTCTGGAACGAATTAATTGGATTTACATTATTTCTTATGGGGAAAATTGATTCGAAAATCGTCCATTTCGATAATAGTCCCACTTCCAGGAACGGATTATGGACGATTATTGAGGGACCACTGTATATACTTTTTTTTTTTTTCAACAAGTTGGCCGTCTCCCACCGAGGCAGGGTGACCCAAAAAAAGAAAGAAAATCCCCAAAAAGAAAATGCTTTCATCATCATTCAACACTTTCACCACACTCACACATAATCACTGTTTTTGCAGAGGTGCTCAGAATACAACAGTTTAGAAGCAAATACATATAAAGATACACAACATATCCCTCCAAACTGCCAATATCCCAAACCCCTCCTTTAAAGTGCAGGCATTGTACTTCCCATTTCCAGGACTCAAGTCCGACTATATGAAAATAACCGGTTTCCCTGAATCCCTTCACTAAATATTACCCTGCTCACACTCCAACAGATCGTCAGGTCCCAAGTACCATTCGTCTCCATTCACTCCTATCTAACACGCTCACGCACGCTTGCTGGAAGTCCAAGCCCCTTGCCCACAAAACCTCCTTTACCCTCTCTCTCCAACCCTTTCGAGGACGACCCCTACCTCGCCTTCCTTCCCCTATAGATTTATATGCTTTCCATGTCATTCTACTTTGATCCATTCTCTCTAAATGACCAAACCACCTCAACAACCCCTCTTCTGCCCTCTGACTAATACTTTTATTAACTCCACACCTTTTCCTAATTTCCACACTCCGAATTTTCTGCATAATATTTACACCACACATTGCCCTTAGACAGGACATCTCCACTGCCTCCAACCGTCTCCTCGCTGCTGCATTTACCACCCAAGCTTCACACCCATGTAAGAGTGTTGGTACTACTATGCTTTCATACATTCCCTTCTTTGCCTCCATAGATAATGTTTTTTGACTCCACATATACCTCAATGCACCACTCACCTTTTTTCCCTCATCAATTCTATGATTAACCCCATCCTTCATAAATCCATCCGCCGACACGTCAACTCCCAAGTATCTGAAAACATTTACTTCTTCCATACTCCTCCTCCCCAATTTGATATCCAATTTTTCTTTATCTAAATCATTTGATACCCTCATCACCTTACTCTTTTCTATGTTCACTTTCAACTTTCTACCTTTACACACATTCCCAAACTCATCCACTAACCTTTGCAATTTTTCTTTAGAATCTCCCATAAGCACAGTATCATCAGCAAAAAGTAACTGTGTCAATTCCCATTTTGAATTTGATTCCCCATAATTTAATCCCACCCCTCTCCCAAACACCCTAGCATTTACTTCTTTTACAACCCCATCTATAAATATATTAAACAACCATGGTGACATTACATATTATATTTATTTATGATTTTTAATGAATCTTTCAATGGCAACACAGAGTGTACACTTGTATATTAGCTAGTTATAACTATGTTGATGACAGTACTAGATAAATGTGACTAGGAGATAACATATCCCATTCTGGTGCATTTTTGCTTAAATCAAATGTACTCTCTTTTATTTCCTTTTGTCTTTTTTCACATCTCGTAATGAACAATTATCTTTTGTATCTGCGCGCTCTCATCCTAGGCATGCGATGCCTGCACCTGAAACTTAAACTTCAAGGTGCAAGTCACACTTCAAGTTAGACCCATGGCCTCATTTACCACTTGGTAACTAAAGGCATGAAAAACCATGTGGTATCAATCAGCAAATTGGTCAAAACACACTTTAGATAAAAAAAAAAAATACTGTACACTATATTTCCCAAACCACTGAGACTTAATAATAACCAGAGTAAAACTACAAAATCATAAATTCCTGTAACAAAGATAATAGCTAATAAATGGTGAAATTTGATCATAGATGGACAACTAACCTGAGCAATTATAGACACAACTTTTTCTAAATCTGCACTTTTTGTAGTCGGGCTTATACGCTTATTCTTGAGGTAATGGGGCGTGTCTCTTCTGTACAGACGAATGGGTCGCTCTTGGTCCTCAGTCACTTCTTCCACAGCTTCTGCATTTCCACTTTTCAAGGAGAACCCCACATGTTTCTCACCATCAATCTGAATGTTTATTAGAATTACAAACTAGGAAACTCAATTTGTTTATATGAGGCTTCCACATAAAATAAAATGTCAAAATTTATATATGGTACTGTGTATTTCGCAAAGAAGTTTTGCGAATATTTTACAATCAAGTATAATCATAAAAGATAATGAATACGATATGAAGTAGGCATTGTCACAGTTGCTCTTTTCTGCTGACTCAGCTTTTGGGACATTCAAAATAAAAGTTACAAGAATTGGTGGAGGTGTTTAAAAGGATGAGTAAAACAACAGAAGTCTGAGTCAAATTGTAAAATGTGTGGTAGAGATGAATAAGATTAGATATCAGGAGTGGATCTATGAAAGATGAGGTAAAGAGAAGGGGCAGTAAGTTTCCAAATGGATGCAAAAAAAAAAAAAAAGGGGGGGGGGGGAGGAATTTATCTAAGAACAGTGGTATCAATGCAGTTGCATGGATGTGGGAAAATAGCTTTTAACCTTTTCAATGTCCAGAGCTCCAAAATTAAAATTGCTCTCAATATCCAAATTAAAAAAAAAAAAAAATTGTAGATTAAAAAGAGTATAATTCCCTGGTACAAATAAAAAAAAATTAGGCTTGAAGTTGAAGGTCAATGACCCACTGGTGGCATCATCAGCAACTGCTTTGCACACACCCTTTTTTTTCTGAGCATTTCTAATTTTTTTTGCTTTTTGTCTGGGGTTTTCTAATTATTTTGCATTTCCCAGTAACTATCTGGCCTGTGAGACTCATATTATGCTCAATGTGCATATATCCATCCACTGTATGCAACACAATACCTGCACTAATAGTATCATCAGTACATTGTGTACAAAACACGTTTACACAACAAATGTTTCACACAACTACTGTGCTAATATTTACATACATATATACAAGTACTTGTCATGTTCCTAGAACTGTTGCAGACTGTGGAGCTTCTTGAACATGTGTGTACACTTTGCTGGCCACCTTGTGTGCACACAGACATAACATCTCTGAGCCCATTTCTTCTCATCAGAAGCAGGAAGTGTCATTAGGAAGTGAAACACCATGCCTCAAATGAGAGGGCAGTTGGCAATCAACTCTGGGGCAGAGGTGTACTGCAGGTGCTGTGACCCGATATTTGTGTATTACTTGCCTGATGACACACAAATCAGGCATACAGAGGTCTATTTTCAGTCCTCAACTGGTACATATTGTATGCAATGCACATTGCAATGTCCACAAGATAAAAGAAAAATTTCCTGTACCTCTTGCAGACACGATCAACTAACCCAAGTTGCATGTCATACATACACATATTGGTGGTGTAATCAATAACAGCCAAATATTTCAGAATGAGTTCACTGGTCTCTCTCTTCACCCTTCAAGTGTCTTTCATTGTGTTGTGGTGAATCAATCTCTACAATGTCACCATGTTTGTCTTGCCACCATAATGACATGATATCAATGAAATGAAACTCCTGCACCTCACCGATTCAAACACCTACGCTGAACCTGGGCATATGTTTGTGTGTTTGATGCACTATACAACACATACCTGTACTGTCACACACTGAATAAAGGGCTTATGTATTAGTTATCCATGTATAATGTATACTCCTTACTAAGACATGGTTTCATCATTGCTCTCAACACATCACCTGAGATAACCAATAACTTCCTGGTATCTTTCAATGTCTTACTTCCTGTGTACACAATCAGAGCCAACACCGGTTTCACAATCATACAACACAAACAGCTTGATAACAAAGCAGTTCCTCTTCCTCGGTATATATCGCTGAACGACAGTCTACCTTTGAAAAACATCAAAGAGTCATCGATGACAAGGTTCTTGAAGGGATAAAAATACACACTGAACTTCTGTTTCAGATACATAATAACAACCCTAATCTAGCATAACATGTTTCTGTCAGGCCTAGTTTTGTATGAGAAGTGCAGCATACCTAACAGCAGGATAAATCTATTGACTGAGATGAGATTACTGACAGCTGGGGTACAAATTAGGTAGTCCATGGACCAGTATAATTGAATATTATTCTTATACCTATGTGGCACAAGACATATTGTGGAAAAGAAGAGATACATCTCAGCCACAGTTGTATCCTTCCACCAGTGTCTTGATTGTGGAGAAACCAATGTGCTTGCCATTGTATATTGGAAGTACCTTTTGGTGTTCCTCACTATAATTTCTGTCAGGGGTTCATCAAAAAATAGTGCAAAGAACTGAAGTTCACCGACATCATTTCCAAGGAAACAGTTTGGGAGGTTTCCACTGTGTGTGTCTTGTCAAACTGATGGAGACTTGGCACAAAATTATACATTTTCCTGCCAATCCGAGAAGCAGTCTGGTGGTGGGTGCTGGATATTAGTAGCTGGTTGTGGTGGTTGTGTGGGGTACTGGAGGCAGCCATGGGTCATTGGGGTGTACAGGTCTCCCTCAACATTCGCGAGGGCTAGGGGATCAAGAGCCTCGCGAATGTTGAAAAACCGTGAATGTTTGGTGCCCCAATATATTGTAGGGAAATATAATACAATACTGCTTCCTTAACTTGTTGAACCATGAACAATCATAAAATACATGAAAACGTCGTAAACTGTACTAAATATATACATGTTATGCTTTAATAACATGTATGTTATTAAATACCACAGACTCCACCAATGCCTCCACCACTTCCCCAACCACTGCGAGTCCCTACTACCCTCCCTCCGACCCCCGCAACTGGCAGTCAGCCCTCCCACCACTCAGTGTGGTGAGTGCTTTGTTTGTTCATTATTTGCTATTAAACTACAGTATAAATAATGTAAACCCATTCATGACTGCATATTGGAATGGCTATTCGGACAGGTATTAGACGGTGACATCATGTGTTTACTCTTGAACACAGCAAAGAATCAAACATTTCTGCTACTGCTAATAATAACAATAGTAGTAGTAGTAGTAGTAGTAGTAGTAGTAGTAGTAGTAATAATAGTAGTATTGTAGTAGTAATAGTAGTAGTAATAATAGTAGTAGTAGTAGTAATAGTAGTAGTAATAGTAGTAGTAATAGTAAATAGTAGTAATAGTAGTAGTAATAGTAGTATAATAGTAGTAGTAATAGTAGTAGTAATAGTAATAATAGTAATAGTAATAATAGTAATAGTAATAATAGTAATAGTAATAATAGTAATAGTAATAATAGTAATAATAGTAATAGTAATAATAGTAATAGTAATAATAGTAATAGTAATAATAGTAATAGTAATAATAGTAATAGTAATAATAGTAATAGTAATAATAGTAATAGTAATAATAGTAATAGTAATAATAGTAATAATAGTAATAATAGTAATAGTAATAATAGTAATAATAGTAATAGTAATAATAGTAATAGTAATAATAGTAATAGTAATAATAGTAATAATAGTAATAGGTAGTAGGTTGGTAGACATAGGTAGTAGGTTGGTAGACAGCAACCACCCAGGGAAGTACTACCGTCCTGCCAGATGACTGTGAAACAAAAACCTGTAACTGTTTTGCATGATGGTAGGATTGCTGGTTTCTTTTTCTGTCTCATAAACACGCTAGATAACAGGGATATCTTGCTACTCCTACTTACACTTTGGTCACACTTCACAGACACGCACATGCATATATATATATACATACATCTAGGTTTTTCTCCTTTTTCTAAATAGCTCTTGTTCTTTTTATTTCTTCTATTGTCCATGGGGAAGTGGAAAAGAATCTTTCCTCCGTAAGCCATGCGTGTCGTATGAGGCGACTAAAATGCCGGGAGCAATGGCTAGTAACCCTTCTCCTGTATACATTTACTAAAAAAGAGAAGAAGAAAAACTTTATAAAACTGGGATGCTTAAATGTGCGTGGATGTAGTGCGGATGACAAGAAACAGATGATTGCTGATGTTATGATGAAAAGAAGTTGGATGTCCTGGCTCTAAGCGAAACAAAGCTGAAGGGGGTAGGAGAGTTTCAGTGGGGGGAAATAAATGGGATTAAATCTGAGTATCTGAGAGAGTTAGAGCAAAGGAAGGGGTAGCAGTAATGTTAAATGATCAGTTATGGAAGGAGAAAAGAGAATATGAATGTGTAAATTCAAGAATTATGTGGATTAAAGTAAAGGTTGGATGCGAGAAGTGGGTCATAATAAGCGTGTATGCACCTGGAGAAGAGAGGAATGCAGAGGAGAGAGAGAGATTTGGGAGATGTTAAGTGAATGTATAGGGAGCCTTTGAACCAAGTGAGAGAGTAATTGTGGTAGGGGACCTGAATGCTAAAGTAGGAGAAACTTTTAGAGAGGGTGTGGTAGGTAAGTTTGGGGTGCCAGGTGTAAATGATAATGGGAGCCCTTTGATTGAACTTTGTATAGAAAGGGGTTTAGTTATAGGTAATACATATTTTAAGAAAAAGAGGATAAATAAGTATACACGATATGATGTAGGGCGAAATGACAGTAGTTTGTTGGATTATGTATTGGTAGATAAAAGACTGTTGAGTAGACTTCAGGATGTACATGTTTATAGAGGGGCCACAGATATATCAGATCACTTTCTAGTTGTAGCTACACTGAGAGTAAAAGGTAGATGGGATACAAGGAGAATAGAAGCATCAGGGAAGAGAGAGGTGAAGGTTTATAAACTAAAAGAGGAGGCAGTTAGGGTAAGATATAAACAGCTATTGGAGGATAGATGGGCTAATGAGAGCATAGGCAATGGGGTCAAAGAGGTATGGGGTAGGTTTAAAAATGTAGTGTTAGAGTGTTCAGCAGAAGTTTGTGGTTACAGGAAAGTGGTGCAGGAGGGAAGAGGAGCGATTGGTGGAATGATGATGTAAAGAGAGTAGTAAGGAGAAAAAGTTAGTATATGAGAAGTTTTTACAAAGTAGAAGTGATGCAAGGAGGGAAGAGTATATGGAGAAAAAGAGAGAGGTTAAGAGAGTGGTGAAGCAATGTAAAAAGAGAGCAAATGAGAGAGTGGGTGAGATGTTATCAA